AATTGGTGCTTTGAACCCTTCCTGGTAAAGAATGCAAATATATTCTGTCCCTAAAGCCCACAAATAATGTATATAGTAAGGAAACATCATGATTTGTATTCTGTGTCTGGGAAGATGCTATGAATGTAGGAATAACCCCTAAGGAATCAGGCTTGGGGTTTTTTTCCTCCCCACCTCCTTTCTAAAAAGCTTCAGCTAAGACTGTTCAATGAAGAGAAGTTTCCTGCTATAGCCTTGTTTTCAGATGTTCCAGTATGTATGGATTCTTGCCTTCTCCTTGTGCCTCCCCAGGTATCCTACTAAATAACTTGTTCTATCTCTACTCAGGATGGAGACATCCTAGCTTCCAATTTTCCTGTGGACACTCAAGTTGCTTACATCCTAAGTCTTGGAGTGGTGAAAGAGTTCAGAAAACATGGAATAGGTAAGATGCTGCTAAGTGACAACTCTGCTCTTGTTTGCCACGTGTGACTAGTGGGCATAACTGAAGGAGCCACACCATTTCACCACAATAATCTTTTCAGTCAAGCCTGTCAGTTATTTGCACCAGCAATTGGGAAGGTGAGGCACTCACATCCCCTTCTTGGTGTTAATGTGGGTGCACTGGGAGGTTTTTACCACTATAGGCACAACACAATGTGCAGATGTTTCTGAAGAATGTGAGGCTTTGTGTATCTTGTGCCCAGGGGACAGCTGAGCACACCAAAAACTTGCACTCCTGCTGCTGAGACGGGCTGAAAGTGCCAGGACTTCACCCTGGAGCAGGGTTTGAAGCCTGTCTGGTGGGGACAAAAGGGAGTATATACTCCCTGGCTTCCGATTATCTTTCATGGCTATCAGGAGCGTGGTCCCTGAGGCTTTGAACCTTTCAACTTCAAGAGATAGAACAAACATTAAGAAAACGACAAAGGGAACTGGAAAAAGAGCGTAGCTTGGGCCTGATTAAATCTCTCAAATGCATGTTAAAGTCAGCTCTGAATGTCTGCTACAACACTCAGCGGTTTTGCAGCCATTTGAAAATCCTGCAGTCAGAAGGGCTTATCTGTGTTTAGAGCAGGGTGTATTTTGTCATCACATAAATGCCTTTCTGGTGCAGTTTTCAAGCATGATATATATCTTTGGTCTGCAAAAGGCAACAGGCCAGGTTTGGCAGCATGACCCGGTGTTGCTCATCTGGGGTTATACAGGTATAATAACTTAATGTCTTCAAGTCCTCTCTTCTCCACCAGTTGTGTTTAGGAAGGTACAAAATGATAGGATACATAAAGAAATGACCAAAAGGGTCCTCAGTGGGAGCACTGTATTGAAAACTTGTGTTGAAATGCTACTGAAGATAAATTTCCAGAATAATGTTGAGAGAAGATGCTAAAGGGGTCTTCTGTTCCGTAAAATTGTGGTGGTTTTGAGTCTCGTTTTAGTTTCCAAATATTTTTTTTTTTTCCCCAGCTCCATCTTGCTGGAATTTTCTCCTTTCAGAATCGGTATTTCCTGTATCCTCTACATCTAGACAGTGGGTCGCTGTGCTCTCTCAAAACCTTTGGCTTCTACCTATAGCAAAACAACCTCAAGAAGCCGCTGCTGCTTTTTCTGAGACCTTTCTCTTGAGAGTTTTTCTGCTTGTGTTTGAAGCTGAAATCTTTTCATGCAGGAGGCTTTTCACCCCAGGCAGACTTTTAAGCGCTAAAGCTCTGATTTTTCTCTGGCAGCCATTAAAAGGCTTTGGTTTCTAGTTCTCTGCTGTTCTTAAACCGGAGAGGAGTTGGATTGCTGAGAGACAGAAGAGCAGAATATCTCATAACAAAACCAAACTGCTCTCCTGTTGATGATGTCTCTCAGAAGTATCAAGTGACGGTGAAGTCAGTGCTGTTGACTTCTGCTCTGAAACCCTGTGGGTCCTGCTCGAAGTCTTATGTGCTCTGGGAATTGTGAAACAGCAGGGTAAATCTCATCTGTATTTTGAATTAGCTAAGCTATTTCTTTCGCCTGTTGTTACCACACCTGATGGAAGAAGTTCCCCTGCAGGTTCTGCTGGGTCCTTCATGCCATGTTGAGGTGGCTTGGATGAACCTCCAGGTCTCCTCTCTTGGGGCTGGAGTACCCTCTGTGCCCATCTCTGGTTTCTCCTGCTGACTCCAGTGGCTGCAGCAAATCCAGGGTGAATGAGTCCAAGGCTCCCTTCCTTAGAAGGGCTCTTAAAATCCTACAGTTCCTTAGATTTTGAGTTCAGCAGACACGTGCAATAACCTGCTTGTGAAGTCCTGTTTTGACACTCTGCTGGCTTTAAAACGTGATGGGACTGATACCACTGAAAATGACTCCCTGACCTCCCCTAAAGCCAGGAGCTGCTGGGCTGGGGATGGGCGTTATGGGCAGGTTCCTGTCTGGCTCGTCTGTGTGGTTATTGAATCAGGAGTTGTGTCTTTATAAAATCTGTTCTGTGAAGCCATGCTCATAGGTGAGATGAAATTCATCTTAAAACCATGTAGTATGGGCCTATTAAATTCCTCAGGAGGTTCTGTGAGACCTGGGTGGGAGCTGGGGCCTTCAAGTGTGGGCAGCAATCACTGCTTAGATGCCAGGTGCAGGAGATCTCAGCTGAACCCTTGTGCTGCACTGTGTGATTCTGCTCAAGCCATGCTTATAGGTGAGATGAAATTCATATTAAAACCGTGTAATATGGTCCTGTTAAATTCCTCGGGAGGTTCTGTGAGAGCTGGGTGGGAGCTGGGGCCTTCAAGTGTGGGCAGCAATTGCTGCTTAGACCCCGGGTGCCAGGAGATCTCAGCTGGGCCCTACGAACCCTTGTGCTGCACTGTGTGATTCTGCTCTTCCTTCCTTCAACAGGTTCGCTCTTGCTTGAAAGTTTAAAAGACCATATATCAACGACTGCCCAAGATCACTGCAAAGCCATCTACCTGCACGTCCTCACCACTAACAACACAGCAATAAACTTCTATGAAAACAGAGACTTTAAACAGCACCACTATCTCCCCTATTATTATTCCATCAGAGGGGTCCTCAAAGATGGCTTCACCTACGTCCTGTACATCAATGGTGGACACCCACCCTGGACAATCTTATATCCTTTACTTTCAGCCTGATTAGCGGTGGAACGCAACAAGCAGACGTCATTTTTCGGGTTAAAAATGGCAATCTAGCAAAGTGTGACCTGGCTAGATCTGGGGACTGATGTGAGTTTAATCTGAAGCTGGAAGGCAGGTGATGTTAGAGGGATGTGGCAGTGACCTGGTTGTCCCCAGGCTCCCCCAACTCTTCTGGGAACAGGTCAGGGAGGCAGTGTAGGGTGGTACATTGAATTCTAAGTTGGAGCAAGTTTGATGCCAATGATGGCAGCTGCTGGTGTCAAGCCAGAGTGTGAGGTGTGCTCTGGTTTGTGTGGTGCAGGGTTTGTCCAGAAGCATGACAGAGAAGCCCTCGGTCTTATTTCCTGGGGCCTAGGATCCCCTGTGGTCCTCCCCTGGCCTGGATCTCAGCAAGCTGCTCTCAGGCTGACTTTGGGAGTTTATTTCAGGTCGTTGGATCAAGGAAAAGAAACCTGATCTTTCCTGGATGTAGCTAGTCTGTCCAAACCTCTCCAGGCGGGACAGATTGCCATCCCCACAGGAACTTGCTGTGGAGTGCAAAGGGAACTGCTTAGAGGGATTTCCCACAAAAGTAGGAGCCATGGTTTCCAAATTGCCTTCTTTTATGGTGCAAAGCAGACCTGCTTTTGATGGAAAGGAGCAAGCAATTAACGCGGGGAGCAGATCTGCCTGTCTCGGGGTCTCACAGAGGGTTTTAAGTTATTTCTACGGGGAGCAGATCTGCCTGTCTCGCTGAGCAAAGCAGCTTTCACTGTGTCTTGGGGTCTCACAGAGTGTTTTAAGTTATTTCTGAAGTTACAGTGGAAATGTCACTGTCCTTAACTGATGGCCACTGACTACCTACAGCACATCGGATCAACGCTAGCCAGCCTGAGCCCGTGTTCAATTCCCCAGAGGATATACCGACAAGCCCAGAGCATCCTCTGCAGCCTCCTGCCCTGGTCTGGCATTTCTGCCAAGAGCGGCATCGAATACAGCCGGACGATGTGACTGGGTCGGCCGGTGTACAGAAAGCAAAGGTGGGTACCTGGGGGGGTAAGCTCCCTCCTCTGCCCGAGGCCAGCAGCCGCAATGGCCCATGGCCACTGTCCTGGGACAACTCCTCGAGCGAAGTGTCCAGGGCCTCACTGTGCTCTGGTCTCCAGCTGGCAGTCCCTGCTGTCTCAGAATCACAGAATCTTCTAGGTTGGAAGGGACCTTAAAGATCATCTTGTCCAACCATCAACCCAACTGACAAAAATAGACACCCACACAACAAACAAGGAGCATCATCACTAAACCTCTCTCCTTTTCCCAGCCCTGTTAGACCAGTTTGGAAGACCCGGAGTGACTGAGTCCTTGCTCTTTCCCCAGCTCAGTGCCCGTTTGGTGCCGGTTGGGTTGTGGCTCTCCAACAAGGTCTTGAGGCCATCAGCTCCCCAGTACACACAAAAAGACCCGTGAAGCCTGCTTTCCCTAAGACAGCTGCCCTCTTCTTTCCGTAGGATTGTTCTTCCTTCCATCTCCTGAACCATCTGGCTCTGCACTGATTCCAGTGATGACGGCTCTTGGTCGGTGACCCAGCCCCTGGACGGGACTCCTCGTTCCGCAGGTTGACCAAGATTTGGCAGATTTCACACTTGACGGGCTGCAGCCCTGACTTCCCCCCGTGGCCTGGGGCCTGTGGGCACTGTGCCCAGGCAGGCCTGGCTGTCCTGCGAGGCATCTGGCCGTGCCGTAGCTGAGGCCCCTGTGCGTCACCCCTCCGTGTGCATGTTGCACTGTCCCCACCACTTCCCTTGCCTCTGGTTTGCTCCTTTCCGTACGCGTGATGCAGAGGGGCTCAGCTGCTGCTTCCACACCATGGCTGCTGAGGGTGGTGTCAATGAGGTTAACGAATCTGCACCGACCCACCGTGTAGATGAGGTGTAAGCGCCCTGGCAGGCTGCTGCTGGTGGAATACACTGTTGTGTCCTCGCTGCAGGGGAAAGGTGGGAGTTGAGGATCGTGTCTGGGTCCTGCCAAGTCACCTGCTGGTGCTTCCTGCGGGAAACTTCCAGGGAGGGGGAAACTACCCAGCCCCCCCCAGCCCTCTGGAGCGACGTAAAAAGAAGCATTGAATTCAGGATGCATCAAGTAGAAGGCAGGGAATGAAATTGCTATTTCATAGTGAAATATATATATTATACTGTATAGATCTTTCTGCCTTTGTCCAAGTTGGAACATAGCAGGGGAGGCCAGCCCTCTGGAGCGACGTAGAAAGTGTTGAATTCAGGATGCATCAAGTAGAAGGCAGGGAATGAAATTGCTATTTCATAGTGAAATATATATATTATACTGTATAGATCTTTCTGCCTTTGTCCAAGTTGGAACATAGCAGGGGAGGGGAGCTGAGGGTGTAGAGCCACTGCTGCAGCCAGAGCCCTTCTCCTCCCCCTGCATGCACCCTCCCCTGGCCCCGGGGCTGGACTCTTGCAGGATTTGTGAGGGTGAGCTCTGTGCAGGGATCGCAGCAGCTTTTCCTTGCTGAAGAGAAGCTCCCCCAGCTGCTCACTGGCGTGCTTCAGGCCATGGTCTGGGCATCTCCATGGGGCCATGCTGGTGGATGACCTCCCTGCAGCTCTCCTGGGCAGCCCCGGCCTGGCTGCGGGTCCCCTGTGTCTCAGCTCACGGGCAGTTGCCATCCAGCCTGCGTGGAGGGCCCCGACCTTCCCTTCCTGTGCCTCGGAGCGAGGGTGGGCAAACGCTTGGCTTTTGAGGTGGGAGTCTCTGCAGCTCACCCAGCCTGGGCACGGCTCAGGGGCACAGGTATCCCTCTGCCCCGCCGGGGTCCCACTGCGCATCCCCCTTCCCTGGCCGAGGCTCTTCCCCTGCTCAGTGCTGGATTCCTCATTCTCCTCTCATTTTGAAACTGGGATTGGAGCAGGGCAGGTCTGAGCTGCAGCCAGGGGGTGGCCTGTGTCTGCAGGCAGTGCCAGCTCCAGCAGTGGGTGCAGGCAGGGCAGGAGGGTGAGACGTGGTGCAGGTCAGGCTTAGGTGAGAAAGAAATCATGTTAAGATTGTGCAGGCCAGGTGACTGCGAAGTCATTTCAGTGTCTGTAAGCCCCTGAGGTGGGAGTTTGTTAATAACCAGGTGCAGGAGGAGAGTGCTGTGCCGTGCTGCCTCCCAGGAAAGGGGTTTGGGGCTCGCTCCCGGGGCTGGCACGGTGGTGCTGCCACTGGGCTCAGAGGTGGCTCTGGCACACAAAACCCCGGTCAGTGCAGCTTCCCCCACGGCCCGGCGGCCTGGGCTGCAGGAAGCAGATTGCTCCAGCCCCAGGAGCTGGCACAAACCACCTTTTGGAGCAGTGGCAGGCTGTTCCCCTGTCCCTCTTCAGCAGCTTGAATAGGTCTAGCTCAAGGATTAGTGGCCACAAGCAGAACCCAGTGTCTCCATGAGGACAGTCTAGCTCTGAGCTGCCGCAATGTCCATTCTTGGAGACCATCAAGCCTCAAGAAGCCAGGGCTGACCTTGGTGTGGGCCTTGCTGTTGAAGCAGAGCACTCCAGAGGCTTCTTCCAACCTATGCAGCTCGTGTTCCCCTTCAGTTTAGAAGCACAGGCAGTGCTGTGCAGCCAGGCTGTTGGAGGGGCTGCAGTTTGTTGGCAGAGGAGCTGCAGGCTGAGCTGGGGCTGGTGCTCAGTGGTGGCCAAGGCGCTTCTCGTGGGGTTTGAGCCTGGCTGTGTGGTGGAAGAGGAGCCCTGCCACCCGTGGCTTGGGGCCCTGAGACAGGGTGGTGGCTTCGCAGCTGCTGCCACCAGTTCCCCTCCGCGGGGCTGCCTGCTCCTGCCCGCGGGTGCTGCGGAAGAGGGGGCAGGGCTGCATGGCCAAAGCTCAGCTGAGCCACTCGTGGCATCACACAGGGGCTCCCTGCGTGTCCCCCTCCTGGGCCAGGTGGCTCCTTGGGCCGGGCTCTGGATGCCACCACCTCACCCAGGTGGCTTGGCTACCTGAGGCCCAGCAGAACCAGCTTAGTGGCCACCACTGGCCCATGGGGAGCAGATGTGGCCTTGGCTTTGCTGAGGCTTTGGCTGTCCCCATTGTCCCCAGTGCTCCTCTCGCAGCCTGACTGGCCCCCCCCGGCAGAACTGCTGCCATCCCTTCAGCTGCGGTGCTTTCCCAGGGTGAGCTGGAGCACCCTTCCAGCCTCATTTCTTACCACTTTTTGGGTTTGGGTTGGGTTTTTCAGGGAATGAAATTGCTATTTCATAGTGAAATATATATATTATACTGTATAGATCTTTCTGCCTTTGTCCAAGTTGGAACATAGCAGGGGAGGGGAGCTGAGGGTGTAGAGCCACTGCTGCAGCCAGAGCCCTTCTCCTCCCCCTGCATGCACCCTCCCCTGGCCCCGGGGCTGGACTCTTGCAGGATCTGTTGGGGTGAGCTCTGTGCAGGGATCGCAGCAGCTTTTCCTTGCTAAAGAGAAGCTCCCCCAGCTGCTCACTGGCGTGCTTCAGGCCATGGTCTGGGCATCTCCATGGGGCCATGCTGGTGGATGACCTCCCTGCAGCTCTCCTGGGCAGCCCCGGCCTGGCTGCGGGTCCCCTGTGTCTCAGCTCACGGGCAGTTGCCATCCAGCCTGCGTGGAGGGCCCCGACCTTCCCTTCCTGTGCCTCGGAGTGAGGGTGGGCAAACGCTTGGCTTTTGAGGTGGGAGTCTCTGCAGCTCACCCAGCCTGGGCACGGGTCAGGGGTGCAGGTATCCCTCTGCCCCGCCGGGGTCCCACTGCGCATCCCCCTTCCCTGGCCGAGGCTCTTCCCCTGCTCAGTGCTGGATTCCTCATTCTCCTCTCATTTTGAAACTGGGATTGGAGCAGGGCAGGTCTGAGCTGCAGCCAGGGGGTGGCCTGTGTCTGCAGGCAGTGCCAGCTCCAGCAGTGGGTGCAGGCAGGGCAGGAGGGTGAGACGTGGTGCAGGTCAGGCTTAGGTGAGAAAGAAATCATGTTAAGATTGTGCAGGCCAGGTGACTGCGAAGTCATTTCAGTGTCTGTAAGCCCCTGAGGTGGGAGTTTGTTAATAACCAGGTGCAGGAGGAGAGTGCTGTGCCGTGCTGCCTCCCAGGAAAGGGGTTTGGGGCTCGCTCCCGGGGCTGGCACGGTGGTGCTGCCACTGGGCTCAGAGGTGGCTCTGGCACACAAAACCCCGGTCAGTGCAGCTTCCCCCACGGCCCGGCGGCCTGGGCTGCAGGAAGCAGATTGCTCCAGCCCCAGGAGCTGGCACAAACCACCTTTTGGAGCAGTGGCAGGCTGTTCCCCTGTCCCTCTTCAGCAGCTTGAATAGGTCTAGCTCAAGGATTAGTGGCCACAAGCAGAACCCAGTGTCTCCATGAGGACAGTCTAGCTCTGAGCTGCCGCAATGTCCATTCTTGGAGACCATCAAGCCTCAAGAAGCCAGGGCTGACCTTGGTGTGGGCCTTGCTGTTGAAGCAGAGCACTCCAGAGGCTTCTTCCAACCTATGCAGCTCGTGTTCCCCTTCAGTTTAGAAGCACAGGCAGTGCTGTGCAGCCAGGCTGTTGGAGGGGCTGCAGTTTGTTGGCAGAGGAGCTGCAGGCTGAGCTGGGGCTGGTGCTCAGTGGTGGCCAAGGCGCTTCTCGTGGGGTTTGAGCCTGGCTGTGTGGTGGAAGAGGAGCCCTGCCACCCGTGGCTTGGGGCCCTGAGACAGGGTGGTGGCTTCGCAGCTGCTGCCACCAGTTCCCCTCCGCGGGGCTGCCTGCTCCTGCCCGCGGGTGCTGCGGAAGAGGGGGCAGGGCTGCATGGCCAAAGCTCAGCTGAGCCACTCGTGGCATCACACAGGGGCTCCCTGCGTGTCCCCCTCCTGGGCCAGGTGGCTCCTTGGGCCGGGCTCTGGATGCCACCACCTCACCCAGGTGGCTTGGCTACCTGAGGCCCAGCAGAACCAGCTTAGTGGCCACCACTGGCCCATGGGGAGCAGATGTGGCCTTGGCTTTGCTGAGGCTTTGGCTGTCCCCATTGTCCCCAGTGCTCCTCTCGCAGCCTGACTGGCCCCCCCCTGGCAGAACTGCTGCCATCCCTTCAGCTGCGGTGCTTTCCCAGGGTGAGCTGGAGCACCCTTCCAGCCTCATTTCTTACCACTTTTTGGGTTTGGGTTGGGTTTTTCCCCCGCTGCTGATTCACTTGTCACTTAAACACGTCTCTGGGTTTATCCGAGTTCCTGGAGCAGCTGGAGCCCCTGGTTTTCCCCAGCACTTGTTTTCTCTGGACCAGAACGGATCTTTCTCTCCTGGTTGTTCGGGACTGATGTCTGATCCCCCCACCCTTTCCTCTCCTGCCCCTTAGCCCAGCCCCACTCCTGCAGCACTTGAGCACATCCCCAGGGGACCCATGACTGATCTGTGTGTCCTCCTGCCACCCCATCCTCCGAGGCATCAGCCACGTCCCCTCACAGCCCGTTATTTATTAAGAGCATCATGCTGCCACCGTCAGCTTCTCTCTAAACGTCTTCGATTAAACCAAACCTCTTTTTTCTGAGTCTTTTGTCTCTCTCTCTGTGCAGGAGATCGAGCACCTTCACCTCACCTTGTGCCCTCACCTCCTGCTGCTGCTCCTGGCCAGGGATCTCCTCGGAGCTGGCAGCGGGGACAGGGCAGGGCCCGCAGCTGGGGAGCAGCTCCTCCAGCGTGGAACTTCCCTCTTGCAACAGGGCTCCTGGTGGGGCCGAGGGTTTTACTGAGGCTCAGCTGAAATGCCTCACCCTGCAGAGACCTGGCACAGCCTCCGTGCCCCAGCAGGGACATGAAAAAGGCCTCCCCATGCACACCCGGTGCCCGGGGGGTGCTCTGGCACCTGCAGCAGGGCAGCTGGCTTCCCCCCACAGCCATTTTAGAGCCGGTTGGAAACTTAACAACAGTTTGTGTGGCTGCAGCTCCCGGAGCCAGCCCCCCAACTTCTGCCCCAGCTTCCCCCCGCTGAGAGGGGCTGCTCTGGGCACTGCCCTCCCCCTGCACCTCCCCCTTCTGGCCCCAGCACAGCCCAGTGAGGAGGAGGAGACAGAGGGACCCCATGGGTGCTGCCCCGGCCCCTGGACCCCCAGAGCCCTGGGAGGGCGCAGACTCAGCGCCAGCAGCCAAGAACCATCCTGACCCCCAAGGGTTCAGCAAAGCCATTTATTCCGCTTTCCTGCTCCCACAGATCTCCAGGTAGAAACCCACACGCGCGCTCCCCCAGGCCCCAGAGGGAATTCACGACACGCCACCCCCCTGCGCCGCTGCCCCGGCCGCGCCGCCGCCGGCAGAGCTGCTTCACCAGCAGCCCCGTCCCTCAGCTGTGTCCGCTGCCAACACAGCCGCGTCCCAGTCAACGCGGGGCATTTAAAAAATAAGACTTTTTTTTTTTTTTCTTTCTTTCTTTTTGTTCCTTAAAAAAACAAAAAAAGTGAAACGGGGACCTGCCGGCAGCAGCGTGTCCCTGAAATCAAAGCATAATTCTAAGGCTTCGGCGCCCTGACGTTAAGCAGGTGAACTCTCTGCAGGGGGCCGTGCGGGTTGATCTGGGAAGCTCGCTAGAGTTTAATGGCCATAAAAATACATAGCTGTCCCCTGCTTCAAACAAACCCTCCCGGCCGGGCAGCGCGGGCGCGTGGGCAGCGGCTGCAGCCGGCGACGGGTTGGAAAGTTAGAAGAAAAGTCTCTAGAGTCTCACCCACTTTTAATCGAGCGCAACCGCGGCGGCAGCGGCGGCGTCACTCCATGGGCTCGGCTACCTGCTGCTCCAACATGGCATTTGCCCCCAGCCCCACCGGCTGCTCCACCGCCTCGACCCCCGGCACAGCCATCAGCTGCTCGGCCACCGCCTGGCTCTCCAGCCCGGCCACCGCCTGCTCCGCCGCCTGCACGCCCGCCTGGTTCTCTGCCCTCTCTGCCAATTCGTTGCCCGTTTTAGCCGCCAGCTCGTTGGCGTGCTTAGCGCCGGCCGCGTTTCCCGTCGCCCCCGCCGCCTGGTCGATGGCCGGCTTCTTCGGCTTCTGCGTGGCGGCCACCGCCTCGGCCAGCTTCTCCTCCGGCACCATGTTCAAGATCTTCAGGGCAAAGAGCAGCTGGAATTTGGCTGTTCCCACGAAGGAGTTGCCCAGGAAGTTGGGCAGCCCGCCCATGCGGTCCTTCTGGGTGTAGAGGGGGACACGGACCATGCCCATCACCTGCAACAGCACGGAGAGGAGCTCAGCAGAGGCCACGGCAGCACCAGCCCCCCCCATCCCCCCCGCCCCACACCACCCTCTGCCCCCACACCCTCACCCCAGCACCCCAGGCCGCTACGGGGAGTCCCGCTTTCCCCTCCACACACCCTGCCCTGCGTGGGGACACCACGGCTCACCCGCACGTCACCCCCCTCGACCACACAACCCGGGGCCAAAACGCCTCCGGTCACGCAGCTGCCGAAACCCACCGAGCGCCGCCGGGGCGCGCCGGGAGACCCTAAATCTCACGCTCTACCCCGGGGCGTCAGCCGGACCCAGCTACCGGGGAGGGAAGCTGCCTCCCGCACCGCCTCCCTGCGAGCCGGGGAGAACTCTGGTCAGAGCAACACATCACCGCGCCGAGGGTCCCGATTCCGGTCCAGGTTTACTCAGCCCAGGACGGGGGGGGCGGGGGGGAGATGCCCACCAGACGCCAGACGGACCTCACCCGCGTCCCGAGGCTGAGCGGGTGAAATAATAGGGGCTCTTCCCTACGCGGGGGGTCGCCGGGAAAGGCCAGGGCTTGAGCTCACTAATGCTCCAGAGCCCTGAGAGGCGACCCCAGCCAGCAGCCAGACCTCCTATCGCCGGCGCTACGCGGCGGTGCGCGGCACTCGCCGGCGGCGGCTCTCTACGTGCGGTGCATTCCCCCGCTGGGCTGCCAGAGCCCAGCAGACCCTAGGAGGGAAGCTTGGTCTTCCCTGGAGCAGCAGACGGGGGGCAGGGGAGGGCTGGGTGGGCTGGGGGGGGCTACCATTTAGCTCAGAGCTCTACACACACCCCCTCCCTGGATGTCCCACCTCCAGCCCGTGGTCTCGGGAATGCACCGCGCTGATCTCGATGGTATGCAGCTCCTCCAGGGTCAGCTGCCTGGCGTAGAAGTGTGCCACCACGCGATGTGGCCCCTCTGTCAGGTGCGAGCACAGATAGTCAGCTTCCGTCAGGCGCACACAGCCCAAACCCAAGCCCAGCACCCGATTCAGACCGTCCTCCAGGGACCAGTAACGGCGATCCACGAACCCCCCGGGAAAGCCCAGCAGTCCGTCAAATCGCATCTGCATCTGCAATAGAGGCGCATGGCGTTAATGGGGCACGGCGGCGCCCCCGGGGGGGCGGGAGGGT